TAGAGAATTGCTATTATTTTTTCCTTAAATGTTTGGCAGAATTCACCAGTTGGTCCATCTGAATCTGGTGATTTATTTTTATGGAAAATTATTAATTATTGATTTAACTTTTAAAATAGATGTAGGGGTTTTAGGTTATCTGTTTCTCCTTGGATGACTTTTGGCGGTTTGTATCATTTGAGAAATTGGTTCATTTCATCTAAATTACCAAATTTGTGAGCAGAGTTGTTAATAATATTCCTTTATTATCCTTTTTGTATTCATGGCATCAGTAGTGATGACTCCTCCTTTATTTCTGAAATTGATCATTTGTTTCTCTCTTAATTAACTGGGTTTATCAATTTTATTCGTCTGTTAAAGTAAGAGTTGTTTGTTTACTGGTTCTCTATTATTGTTCCTGTTTAAATTGATTCTGCGTCTAATTTTATTTCTACTTTGTTAGGCCCAAAATGTTTTATTTCTAGTTTTCCAGGTGGAAGGCCTTAATTTACTTTAGGATTCTTTCGTTTACTTTACTTTTTTTTTTTTGAAATGAAGTGCACTCTTGTTGCCCAAGGCGTAGTGCATATGGCCGGACTCGGCTCACTCAAACCTCCACCTCCCAGTTCCCAAGGATTCTCCTGCCTCCAGCCTGCGGAGGGCTGAGACTTACCAGGTGCCTGTCAGCATGCCCACGCTAATTTTTGTATTTTAGTAGAGACGGGGTTTTACACATTGCCACGCCGGGTCTCCAAACGCCCTGGACCATTCAGGTGATCCACCCCACCTTGGCCTCCCAAATTCGTTTCAATATATGCATTTAGTGCTGTCACTGTCCCTGTAAGGCAGTGCTTCCACTGCAAGCCTCACAAGCCTTGCGTGGAATTTAAGATCTGCAATCAAGTTCCATGATCTCTTTGGGTTTCTCGTGATAAGTTCTTAGTTATGGCGTCGGTTCGCTGTTCATGGTTCATTGCTTTTTATCTCTGAGAATATAACTTCTTTGAAGTTTTTTTTTTTTTGTTTTGAGACCCCAGAGTCTCGCTCTGTCACCCAGCTGAGTGCGGTGCCGGAATCTGCAGGGGGCTCACTGCAAGGCTCCACCTCCCAGGTTTACGGCCATTCTCCTGCCTCAGCCTCCCGAGTAGCTGGGACTACAGGCGCCCGCCACCTTGCCCGGCTAGTTTTTTGTATTTTTTAGTAGACAAGGTTTCACCGTGTTAGCCAGGATGGTCTTGATCTCCTGACCTCATGATCCGCCCATCTCGGCCTCCTAAAGTGCTGGGATTACAGGCTTGAGCCACCATGCCCAGCCAGCTTCTTTGAAGTTTTATTATGCCTCCTGCATTGTGTCTTCCTCCAAATTCCTTTTTTTTTTTTTTTTGAGACAAGATCTCGCTCTGTTGCCCAATCTGGAGTGCAGTGGTGTCATCTTGGTTCACTGCAACCTCTGTCTCCCGGGTTCAAGTGATTCTCCTGCCTCAGTTACCAAAGTAGCTGGGATTACAGGCATGCGTCACTATGCCCAGCTAATTTTTGTACTTTTAGTAGAAACAGGGTTTCACCATGTTGGCCAGGCTGGTGTTGAACTCCTAACCTCAAGCAGTTCACCTGCCTTGGCCTCCCAAAGTGTTGGGATTACAGGCATGAGCCACCATGTCTGGTCTCCGAATTTCTTTTGTTTGTTTGGTGTCTGTTTATTTTGTGCACTCTTCTGTGTGTATGGTATAACCGCACTTTGAAAATTGAAACAAAAAAAGGTAACATGCTTTATTGAATTAAGATGCCATACCAGTGTTATTGAAAATTCTTCTGAAGTGTACCTGTTAGTTTTAAGTTTGTTGCCAGCATAATTATTGTTCATTTGAAAGTGACCTTTTCTCTCTGGTTATTCTATCTTTGGGGTTTAGTAGTTTTACAGTAGTGTATCTAAATGTGGATTTCTCTTTGTATTGTTTGGTGTAATTTGACCTGTATCTGTTGAGTTGACTTTTTCATCAATTCTGGAAAAACTCCCAGCATTATCTTTTCAAATATAGTTGTTCCATGCTGTCTTTTTTCCTCATAGTACTCCATTCTCATTTTGTCATCAATACCTTTTAACCTAGTTTTTATATTTTTCTCTTCCTCGTCCCTCTAGGCATTATTTTAGGTAATTTCTTCAGATAGGTCTTTGATGTCATTCAGTTCTCTCTTAAGCTCTGCCTAATTTTCAAGCCCATTTTTAAAGTATCTCTTTTTTGTTTATTTATTTATTTTTTCTGGACCTCAGATGTCCTTAGTTGATGGCACACGATCATAATTAGTTCTTGTAAAGCCCTGTCATTCATTTGTTGTCTTTTACCCCCATTTCCTATTCCTAGTCCCCATGCCAGGTAGCCAAACAGATGTGTTTAATAATATATATTCTTTTGTGTGTATTTATTATTACAAATTTATTTAGTTTTATTATGTTTTTAAAAAGTAACAGTTTGCAACGGATTGGAAGTGTAAGAAAAATACTTACCATAGGCAGTTTGAGGAATGTTGCTGTACGGTGTTTCACCTTCCAGATTAGCTTAGCTGATTGCTTTCTTTTTATGTCATTTAACTTGTTCCTTATGCTTGAATTTCCTGTAAACAAGCAATTAGTTTGATTACATTCTAATTCAATTTTTTTAGGCAGTAATATTTTTTAGGTGATACTGTTCTTCCACATTTATTGATGGTGAAATTGATTGTTGGGTTTGGATGTGTTGACTTGATCCCACCGTTATAAAATTCCCCATAAACCTTTTCCTCTAGCCTTTAAACATCCATTTATAGCCATTGCCTAGTCTATTTATTGCATTAGGAATTATGAAGAGATGAATTAAAAATTTTTAATATCTTTTTGCAATTATTCACTGGAATTCTTATCTAAAGAACTTTTCATCAGTAATTATTTTGTTATAAAGTATATTTTGTAAATAAAGGGCAGGATAAATTCTTTTTTTAGTGACAAAGCTTTATTGAAATATAACAGAGAAGGCTTAATCACATCATATACCATGCTTGTGAATTGGAAATTTCAATATTATTAAGGACAGTGTTCCCCAGATTGATATACATATATATATTTTTAAATTAAATTAAATTTAAAGTTCCGGGATACATGTGCAGGACGTGCAGGTTTGTTACATAGGTAAACATGTGCTATGGTGGTTTTTTGCACCTGTCAACCCATCACCTAGATATTAAGCCCCACATGCATTAGCTATTTATCCTGACACTTTCCCTTCACCACCCCCCACCCCAAAAGGCCCCAGTGTGTCTGGTTCCCCTCGCTGTGTCCACGTGTTCTCATTGTTCAGCTCCCACTTATTTTAAGTGACAACATGAGGTGTTTGGTTTTCTGTTCTTGCATTAGTTTGCTGAGAATAATGGCTTCTAGCCTCATCTGTGTACCTGCAAAGGACATGATATTGTTCATTTTTATGGCCGCATAGTATTCCATGGTGTTATATGCACCACATTTTCTTTATCCAGTCTATCATTGATGGGCATTTGGGTTGAGTCCATGTCTTTGCTATTGAGAACATACACATGCATGAATCTTTATAGCAGAATGATTTATATTCCTTTGGGTGTATACCAGTAATTGGAATTTGCTGTGACAAATGATCTGCCTGATTCTAGGTCTTTGAGGAATCGCTACACTGTCTTTGTGTTGAAGTGTTCCTGTTTCTCCACAGCCTCTCCAGCGTCTGTTGTTTCTTGACTTTTTAATGATTGCCCTTCTGACTGGCCTGAGATGGTATCTCATTGTGGTTTTAATTTGCATTTCTCTAATGATCAGTGATGTTGAGCTTTTTTATGTTCGTTGGCCACATAAATGTCTTCTTTTGAAAAGTGCCTGTTCATGTCCTTGGGTAGGATAAATTCTTGATTTTTTTCCCTTAATTGATCAATTTTTAGAGTAATTGGTTAGTGCCCTGCTACCCCTCCAGTGAGTGGTATGTTTTGTTTTTGTCTTTAGTATTATTTTATCTTTTTTTTTTTTTTCCAAATCTATTTGATTTATGTTTAGTCCTTTGCAGTCTTCATTCATTTGATGCTCACTTGTCCCATTTAAGCCGGTGCCCTTCAACTTGACTTTTGTCCTTTTGATATTATCCTATTACTTATTGACAGATTCCTGTGAGGTTTCTCAGACTTATTTGGTGTAGTTTCTGTTCCAGACCAGAGGTTTGCCTACTTTTTTCATCTTTTCGTCAAACTAACTTTTAGTTTTCTTGTGCAACTCTCTTGTACGCTTGTTTTCTTTTGTTTAATTTTTGCTCTTAGTTTACTAGTTTTCAGTCTTCTTTTGTCAGGAGCAGTGTCTCATCCCTGTAATCCCAGCACTTTGGGAGGCTGAGACGGGTGGATGACTTGAGGTCATCGAGACAGCCTGGCCAAAATGGTGAAACCCTACTCTTCTAAAAAAAAAAAAACAACCCAAAGTTAACAGCCTGGTTGCGCACACCTATAGTCCCAGCTACTCTGGAGCTGAGACAGGAGAATCGCTTGAACCTGGGGGATGGAGGTTGCAGTAAGTCGAGATAGCACTACTGCATTCCAGCCTGGGTGACAGAGCGAGACTCCATCTCAAAAAAAAAAAAAAGTTCAAGTCTCTAAGTATCTCTTGAAGTACCACTTTTACTGAATCCCAGAGTTTTTATGTGCATGTTTTTATGTGTTTGTAGTTTCATATGTTGTATTTACAAGTAGTTTTAGCTTTCCATTTTGAATTCTTCTTTGACCCATGAGTTATTTAGGTAAGTGTTTAAAAATTTACAATAGTTTATGTATGCAAATATTATGTTGTTAGAGTTGGTTTTCATGTCATTTTTACATATACAGGGGCAGTTTCCCCAACTAAATTGTATATTCCTTAAAGCAGCACTCTTAAATTTTATTTCTGTGTTAATTTCTTGACTGTTTTTCCTGGCATGGAATACATGGCATAATATTTATGTTACAGAATTAAATGAAATATTATTATACTTTTTATTTTTTAGGCATACAAGAATTAAATTCTGAATAAGTCTACAGGTAGGATGGATAGTTATTTTAAAGCAGCTGTCAGTGACTTGGACAAACTCCTTGATGATTTTGAACAGAACCCAGGTTTGTTGATTTTCCATTTTTGCCACTAATGGGATTTTAAAATATCTGTAATTATCTCAGGTATATAGTAATATTAGCAAAATTTTCTTTCAATTTTGGTCACATTGTTATCTTCTGCAAAAAGTTCATTTATTTCATAATAAGATGTTAGTTGATTCTTAGGCTGAATGGGACCCATAGCCAGAAACAGAAGTAAGGAACCTAGAAGGTTTTTTTCTAGATGCAAATTAGCTATAAGAAAGTCCTCTCTCTTCTCTTCTCTTCTCTTCTCTTCTCTTCTCTTCTCTTCTCTTCTCTTCTCTTCTCTTCTCTTTTTGAGACAAAGTCTCACTCCATCACCCAGGCTAAAGTGCAGTGGCACAATCAGCCTCACTGCAGCCTCAACCTCCTGGGCTCAAGCATTCCTCCCACCTCAGCCTCCAAGTGGTAACACAGGTGCATGCCACCATGCTGGGTAATTTTTCAATTATTTGTAAAGACAGAACCTTCCTATGTTGCCCAGGCTCGTCTTGAATTCTGGGCAATCCTCCTGCCTCCGCCTCCCAAAATGTTGGGATTATAGGCATGAGCCATGTGCTTGGCCCCAGAAAGACCTTTAAAACCAACATATGAACAAGCTAAAAGCAACCTAAGAGTTCTGCATAAATTGATATTTCATTACAACAAGAGATGGTATTTTATTTTATTATTATTTCTTTTTTGAGATGGAGTTTCACTGTTGTTGCCCAGGCTGGAGTGCAGTGGCGCCATCTCATCTCACTGCAACCTCTGCCTCCCGGGTTCAAGCAATTCTTCTGCCTCAGCCTCCCAAGGAGCTGGGATTACAGGCGCCTGCCACCATGCCTGGCTAGTTTTTTGTTTGTTTGTTTTTGAGACAGAGTCTCACTCTGTTGCCCAAGCTGGAGTGCAGTGGTGCGATCTTGGCTCACTGCAACTTCTGCCTCCCAGGTTCAAGCGATTCTCCTGCCTCAGCCTCCCAAGTAGCTGGGATTGCAGGTGCCCGCCACCGTGCCCAGCTAATTTTCGTATTTTAAGTAGAAACGGGGTTTCACCATATTGGCCAGGCTGGTCTCGAACTCCTTGTTATCCACCTGCCTCGGCCTCCCAAAGTGCTGGATTACAGACGTGAGCTACCGCGCCCAGCCTAATTTTTGTATTTTTGATAGAGATGGGGTTTCACCATGTTGGCCAGGCGAGTCTTAAACTCTTGGCCTCAGGTGATCCGCCTGCCTCAGCCTCCCAAAGTGCTGGGCTTATAGGCATGAGCCACCGCGCCTGGCTGGTATTTTCTATAAAATGAAGACTAGGAAACTGGAAGACAGAACACAGAGGTTAGATTGTTTTTCAGCTCTTCCTTAGTCTAGTTTTTATAGTGCAACTAAGTTTCTTTTTTTTTCTGAGAGACAGGGTCTTGCTCTTTCACCCTGCCTGGAGTGCAGTGGTACAGTCATAAGCTCACTGCAGCCTTGAATTCCTGCACTCAGGCAATCCTCTCACCTCAGCCTTCTGAGTAGCTGGGACCACAAGTGTGTGCCACCATGCCTGGCTAATTTAAAAATATGTATATTTTTTTACAGATGGGGCCTCACTGTGTTGTAGGCTGGTCTTGAACTCCTGGTCTCAAGTTATCCTCCCACCATGGCTTCCCAAAGTGCTGGGATTACAGTTGTAAGCCACCATGCCTGGCGACAACTAAGTTATTTTGAGTGGAATTTTTATCACTTACGGTATCTGCATTCAAAAGTGAAAACTAGAAAGTACTTTAAAATCAAATAAACATAGCTTCGGGTTCTCTCTCCTGCTGCCTTGTGAAGAAGGTGCTTCTCCTTTGCCTTCTGCCACGATTGTAAGTTTCCTGAGGCCTCCCTGGCCATGCAGAACTATTGGCTTATTTTATCTGGATGTGGCTATGGCCACCAACAGCTCCAGATTCACACTGCCCCCTGAGAAGTGTCCTTCTTCCTTTCTTCAAATTCGGAGTATCAGGAGAATGCCCCTAAGTGGCCCAGCTTGAAACAATCACATGCCCATCACTATGGCCATAGTGTGTGATGCTACTACAATTGGCAACCTCAATTAGAGCACCACAGGGGAGCGAGGGTAGGATCCAGGTGATAGAAAAATGAACAAGTAGAAAGCCAGCTTGAGGAGTCCTCACAAACAAAGGAAAGATCAAGATCAAGTTATTAGAGCAACTATGCATGAGATCAAGATCTAAGAACGTTCATTTATTCAGTCAGTCGTTTCTTGAACACTTAAGTTTCAGGAACTATTCTAAGCAATGGGGGTATAAGTCAGAAAAAAAGACAAGGTCCCTGCACTTGTGACACTTACTTTGTAGTTGAAACAGCCAACAATCATAAACAAGATAATTTCAGATAAAAATAAATGCTGTAAAGGAAATAAAAAAATAGTTTTGGAGGTTATTTCTGCTTTGCAAAAGAATAATCTGTGTTCTTTAAAAAAAGCTTATTTAGTTTAGAAGTCTTGGGAAACATAGTATGTTTAATAATTTTTATTTGATTTGAGTCTCCCGAATAACACTGTTTCTCTATTTCAGATGAACAAGATTATCTTCAAGATATACAAAATGCATATGATTCTAACCACTGCTCAGTTTCTTCAGAGTTGGCTTCCTCACAGCCAACTTCATTGCTCCCAAGAGACCAACAATGTATTAATAGTTGTGCCTCATCAGAAACAAGCTATGAAATAAATGAGAGTTCCCTCAATGAAAAATCACTCAAGGGACTTACTTCTATACAAAATGAAAAAAATGTAACAGGACTTGATCTTCTTTCTTCTGTGGATGGTGGTACTTCAGATGAAATCCAGCCTTTATATATGGGACGATGTAGTAAACCTATCTGTGATCTGATAAGTGACATGGGTAACTTAGTTCATGCAACTAATAGTGAAGAAGATATTAAAAAATTATTGCCAGATGATTTTAAGTCTAATGCAGATTCCTTGATTGGATTGGATTTATCTTCAGTGTCAGATACTCCCTGTGTTTCTTCAACAGACCATGATAGTGATACTGTCAGAGAACCACAGAATGATACCAGTTCTGAATTACAAAATAGAGAAATCGGAGGAATAAAAGAATTGGGTATAAAAGTAGATACACTTTCAGATTCCTGTAATTACAGTGGAACAGAAAATTTAAAAGATAAAAAGATCTTTAATCACTTAGAACCAATTGTTGATTTTAACATGTCATCTGCTTTGACTCAGCAAAGTTCCAAAATGTTTGATGCCAAAGACAAGCTACAACACAAGAGCCAGCCATGTGAATTACTAAAAGATGATGGCTTAGTAAAAGAGGAAGTAGGTGTGGCAGTCATAACCGCTGCAGAATGTTTAAAAGAAGAGGGCAAGACAAGTGCTTTGACCTTCAGCCTTCCAAAAAATGAAGATTTATGCTTAAATGATTTAAATTCAAGAGATGAAAATTTCAAATTACCTGACTTTTCCTTTCAGGAAGATAAGACTGTTACATTTATAGAACAATCTGCACAAGAAGACTCAAGAAATTTAGACCTTAAGGATAATGATGTAATCCAAGATTCCTCTTCAGCTTTACATGTTTCAGGTGAAGATGTACGGTCCTCATTGTCCTGTCTTCCCGTATCTGGGTCTATGTGCGGATCATTAATTGAAAGTAAAGCACGGGGTGATTTTTTACCTCAGCATGAACATAAAGATAATATACAAGATGCTGTGACTATACATGAAGAAATACAGAACAGTGTTGTTCTAGGTGGGGAACCATTCAAGGAGACTGATCTTTTGAAACAGGAAAAATGTAAAAACATAGTCCTTCAGCCATTAATTGAAGGAATGGAAGACAGAAAGATAGATCCTGACCAGACGGTAATCAGAGTTGCATCTTTGGATGGTGGTGACACCAATTCTACAGTTGTAGAATCTCAAGAGGGGCTTTCTGGCACTAATGTCCTAGAGTCTTCCGATTGTTGTGAGGGTTTTATTAATACTTTTTCAAGCATTGATATGGATGGACAAGACTTAGATTACTTTAATATTGATGAAGGCACAAAAAGTGGCACACTAATTAGTGATGCTGAACTTGATGCGTTTCTGACAGAACAGTATCTTCAGACCACTAACATAAAGTCTTTTGAAGAAAATGTAAATGACTCTAAATTGCAAATGAATCATATAGATATGAAAGACTTAGATGATGGAAACATCAATAATATATATTTCAATGCAGAAGCAGGAGCTATTGGGGAAAGTCATGGTATTAATATAATTTGTGAAACAGTTGATAAACAAAATGCAATAGAAAATGGCCTTTCTTTAGGAGAAAAAAGCACAATTCCAATTGAACAAGGGTTACTTACCAGTAAGTCTGAGATTACAAATGAATTATCAGTCTCTGATACTAATAGTCAATCTGTTGGAGGGGCCAGACCTAAGCAATTGTTTGGCCTTCCATCAAGAACAAGGAGTTCAAAAGACCTGAATAAGCCAGATGTTCCAAATACAATAGAAAGTGAACCCAGCATAGCAGACACCGTTGTTCCAGTCACTTGCGCTGTGGATTCTACAGCTGATCCTCAGGTTAGCTTCAACTCTAACTACATTGATATAGAAAGTAATTCTGAAGGTGGATCTAGTTCTCTAACTGCAAATGAAGATTCTCTACCTGAAAATACTTGCAAAGAAGGCTTGGTTTTGGGCCAGAAGCAGCCTACTTGGGTTCCTGATTCAGAAGCTCCAAACTGTATGAACTGCCAAGTCAAATTTACTTTTACAAAACGACGACACCATTGCCGAGCATGTGGGAAAGTAAGTTATAAAAATCTTTAAATCTTTTGTTCTTTTGAGACATTTTAAACAAATATAATGTGATAGAAAAGGCTGATTAACAGATAATTACAAGATTGAGTTAGTTTAAAATCAGTGTTTTTCATCTACCAGTCAGGGAAATAAATAAAGCAGTGTTATTTTGCAGATTGGTTGATGGTTGAATAAATGTTACATTGTCAGGGGCATTAATTACATGCTGGGAAATGAGAAACAATTATTTAATTACTAATTTTTGTGACATTTAAGAATATTTGTTCTTATCTCTGTAATATTGACACGTTAAATATTCCAGATTTGGTCAGATTCCCCTTTGTCCTCAAACATTTAATTTCAAGACCAATCTACAGCTAGTGTTGTGATCAGTGCCCAGGGAAACACTCCAGAGCAAATTGGCTTCCACAGAATACTGAAGCTGACCTTGAGTTGTGACTGGTAATAGCCAAGATAAAAAGACTGTCTATAAATTCTAAGGCTTGCCTATAGAAATCCTATTACATTTTTATTCAGATTTTTCAGTAATATGTTGGTTTCAGATCCATCCTATTTTTTTTAACAAAATAATATTTTACTTTAAAAAGTTTTAAATGAAGAATTACAAAGAACTTTTAATATTGTAAACTTATTCATTAAAGATAGTTTTTGTTCCCTTTCCAATGAACATAATTGATTTAGAGGAATTCTCCTTATCAGAAATATGGTATCAAATTGCAGAAACTTCATTTAAGTTACAAAAAAAAAGAATTCCACCTATGATTATGGTGATAAGAAAATGATTTCTATAATAAGGAAAAAGAGTTTTGGTTAATTAGGTTTAGGACCTCTCCACACTGCCTCTAGTAGGTGTAAGTATTATTTTATTTATTTATTTATTTTTTATTATTATACTTTAAGTTCTAGGGTACATGTGCACAATGTGCTGGTTTGTTATGTGTGTATACATGTGCCATGTTGGTGTGCTGCTGCACCCGTTAACTCGTCATTTATATTAGGTATATCTCCTAATGCTATCTCTCCCCCCACCCCACGACAGGCTCCGGTGTGTGATGTTCCCCGTCTTGTGTCCACGTGTTTTCATTGTTCAGTTCCCACCTATGAGTAAGAACATGTGGTGTTTGGTTTTCAATCCTTGCGATAGTTTCCTGAGAATGATGGTTTCCAGCTTCATCCGTGTCCCTACAAGGGACATGACCTCATCCTTTTTTACGGCTGCATAGTATTCCATGGTGTATATGTGCCACATTTTCTTAATCCAGTCTATCATTGATGGGCATTTGGGTTGGTTCCAAGTCTTTGCTATTGTGAATAGTGCCACAGTAAACGTACGTGTGCGTGTGTCTTTATAGCAGCATGATTTATAATCCTTTGGGTGTATACCCAGTAATGGGATGGCTGGGTCAAATGGTATTTCTAGTTCTAGATGGTGTAAGTATTCTTGAAACAAAAATAAATTTGGTATTTTATTCTTTATAGGTATTTTGTGGTGTCTGTTGTAGTAGGAAGAGTAAACTGCAATATCTAGAAAAGGAAGCAAGAGTATGTGTAGTCTGCTATGAAACTATTAGTAAAGGTGAGTATTAACTTGATGTATTTTCTTCCAGTAATTGAATATATGTTAAAATTAATTGGATTGTGACAAAGATAAACTTCTTTATTTTCTTAAGGCAAGGACCTAGTGTTGAATTATCTGGCTTAGGTGGGACATCCCAAGGCTTGGTTTCTCTTCTTTTTGTTCCACTCTCACAATTAATACTACCAGTCTGGAAAGGAAGCATTCAGTTTCTGGAGTGGCAGTTCATTAACTTTTAACAGGTACCAAGTCCCTAAATGCTGCGTTTCATCTGCCTATTTGTTTTTGTCATCATCGTCATGTTCATCATTTTAATCTAAATAAACACTTGTAGATACCTACCAATAAGTAGTACTCAATATTATTTATTAGTAGCATAGGGCAAGATAATAGTTCAAACCCTTTAGAGAATAACAACCTAAAATGATAGTACAAGATAAGGTGGTAATATTTATGATTTTATAAATTCATAGGACTGCCACACTATTTGCACATTTTTGTCTCATATCTTTTTTTGCTTTCTCAACTTTAGAATTTTGCATATGTACACTTCCCATTATTTCTTTGGCTCTCTAATTAGCTACAATTATTAGCAGTAGTCCCGGTGGTCTTTGAGTTCTCACAGGTTGTGTGTGTGGGGGTGTGTGTGTGTGTGTTGTGTTTTTTCCCCCAAGTCCATGTTTATTCTTTTGAGTACCACTTGGCATTTTCAAAGATTCGTTGACAGTTTAATTCCTGGCAAATATTACTTGGGCCTTTTTTGACCAGACCTGTGCACTACCTCAGGCCCTGCTTCCTGTTAGCCAGGGGGAATGGATACCTGATAATAATTTGTTTTTCTCTTTTGAACGAAGATAACTTTTTTCAGCAATTCTCCAAAAAGCTCTGATGTGAGTCTGTTAGCCTGAGGTAAGCTGCTTTTCTCCCTGCTGTTGACCTCTGCTCTGGAAGATAACAAAGTGTAAATCTTTTTATGTTTCCATGTTACCGCCATTGTTTATGAAGAGGTCAGTTTAAGTGCTTATAGTTGTTTTGTTTTTTCTTATGCTGTTTCAGTAGCCTAGAAGATGACTGCTGGTGCTGTTAGCCAAGGCAATCTGCTAGAATTCAGAAATTTTAGAGCAAGCTCCCACATAAGTATCTCCCCCATTAAAAAGAAATTAAACATCCATGAGGATTTGAAACGTTATTTATGTTGACAGGTCAGATTTTTGGGTGAGCATTCAGACATATTTTGACTCTAAGGGTCCAGGAGGGGAGAAGATATGGTCATTAAAGAAATTCAGTAGAATACTGAAATCAAGCTTTGGTTTATCAAAGAAAATACTGTGGAATTAGTTTATTTAGTTATCTGTTTAAATTTATTCTATTTTGATATAGCATATAGTTTCATTTACGGTGCTATTTATTATTAATTTATATGCCACAGGAAAGCATAAATAAAAGTTAATATCAGCTTTAGGGTTGAAAATAATAGAAGTGATCATTTAAAATAATGATATCAAATGAGAAGAGAAAGATGGTTCATGGGTTGTGAGACACACTACGTGAAAGATTGGAAGAAAAAGATAATTTGAATAGAGATAGTAGATAATGAGAAAGCTGTCCTGAGATTATGTGAGTTTCAAGGAAGCGCACATGTGAATGTCAATAAGTAGATTTGAGGCAAGTTAGAAATTACTTTGAAATTGAGAGTAAGATGTTTGGACTTCACTTGGTTAATGGAAGCCATTTTATGAGTGCCATCATTCAGTGGCACTTGAGGAAGATTGTTTTAGCAGTGGCAACATTTATAGCAGATCAGTTTGGAGAAACGCTGAAGGGAGAGCTATCAATGTACCTTGTTTTTTGGATGAAGAATCACTCAGCAGTATTGAGGCACTATTCTGCATTCTGAAGCTCAAGCTGAGAGCAAAATAGAAGCTATATTCTCATGAAATTTATGAATGTTTGTAGAGATGGATAGTAAACAAAAAGATATCAGATGGTGATATTACCTTCAATTAAAAAATTTAAAAAGTGTAAGAGTGATAGATAGTTAACAGATTAGTGGCAAAAGGAATTTTTTTTTTTTGAGATGGAGTCTCACTCTGTCACTCAGGTTGGAGTATAATTGTGCGAACTTAGCTCTTTGCAGCCTCCATCTCCCAGGTTCAAGCAGTCCTCCCACCTCAGCCTCCCTAGTAGTTGGGACCACAGGCACACACTACCACGCCCAGCTGATTTTTTCTATTTATGATAGAAATGGGGTTTCACCATGTTGCCCAGGCTAGTCTCAAAGCAATCCTGAGCTTAAGTGATCTACCCGCTTTGGCCTCCCAAAGTATTGGGATTATAAGCGTGAGCCACTGTCCCTGGCCTTAGGTAGTATTTTTTATAATGTGGTCACAGTAAGGCTTTATGGTAATATGACATGTGAGCAGAGTCTTGAAGGAGGTGAGATAATAAAGCTGTGTGAGTATGACAAGAACATTCTAGGCCAAGGGAATAATAGGAGCAAAGATTCTAAGCTGTAGGAGTACTTACTTGAAGAACAAGGAGGTCTGGGTGGCTGGACCATAGCGAATGAGTGGGATTGTAGTGAGAGATGAGGTCAAACATGTAACTGGGAAAGTGGAGGAGGTTGGGATGAATTATGTTGGGTCTTGTGAGCCATTGTAACAACTTAAATTTTCACTTTAGTTAGCCATTAAAAGATTTTAAACAGAGGAATAATGAGATATGATTTATGTCTAAAAGAATCTCTCTAAACTATGTTGGAAATAGACTCTAGGGGTACAAGGATGAAAACAGAGATAGTCATGTTAAATAAGGGTTATTCTCTGTAGATATCAAATATACACCTTAGATATAATATTGAAATAACTTATTGGTAGCTTATCAAAGTGGCATGCTGCCAACTCAGACAGTATCTTTGCCAAGTGCTACTTCTTTTTCTTGATTAGCCATTTCTTTCTTTCTCGTTACAACTTGAAAAAGAATATTTATTGAAATTTACTTTGAAGTAAAATACAAAAACATCTGAGATTTTAACACTATTGTTTTCCCCTTTATAGCTCAGGCATTTGAAAGGATGATGAGTCCAACTGGTTCTAATCTTAAATCTAATCATTCCGATGAATGTACTATTGTCCAGCCTCCTCAGGAGAACCAGACGTCCAGTATACCTTCACCAACAACTTTGCCAGTCTCAGCACTTAAACAACCAAATGTTGAAGGTAATAGAAGAAAATGCTGTGTCTAAGACTAAAGATAAATTATCAAAATAGAAATTCTCTAATGTAGCCAGAAATTCTCTAATGTAGTCAGGAAAGAGAAACCAGATTAAATATCAAGAGGGATTTAATACAGGGAATTGGTTACACATGCAGGCTGGAAGACTGGAAGAGCAAAAAGGCTGTGCTCAAGTGCCTCAGCAATTAGTAACTGCAGGAAGCAACCACCACAACTGGAGTTTGGGGCTACAAAAGGGGAGAGGCTAGAGCTCAGTGTAAGAGCACCAGGAGGTGTTTGGATCGCAGATGTTGGAGTCAGAAGCCATGGTCACAGCACCATCAAGAGGTCTCATAGAGTTGGTGCTCAGATGACTAAAGTAGAGCTCCAGATTTGATGTTAGGAGTACTGAAAATCATGAGTCTAGCAGCTGTATCTAGTGGTGTTGCTGCTGCAAAGATCCTGGCAGGATCCAGAAACAAAGAATTCCTTCTCATTTCTTCCCACCTTATGGTCTCCCACCAGTGCCTGCTATTGGAAAAAGCTGACCAAAGCCAGTAACGAGAGTCTGGGAATTGCACTTTCCAGACTTCCAACCTGGCATCCAAGAGCCCAGTTTAGAGGGTGAGCTTGGGTTTGAGAGGCAATACGTAAATAATTGTTCTATCTCCTTTTCCTTAAAAACCTATTTGTAGTTGTGTATTTTACCACAGTAATAATGTTTTTTAAATCTGTTTTTAAATCATTGAGTTATCTGCTCCTTTTTACAACCCGTTATCAATTAGCATCTTGAGTAAGGCACATGTATGTCTTTAAATATGAATTATTAGTCTCTTACATGCTGGAAAAAAACCATAAATGTCAGATAAAGGCAAATTTGGATCCTTGTATTTTTGTGGACTTCAGTTTATTACTCAGTAACTGTTTTCCATTTATTATAATGAAATAAGGAGACTCAGCATTATATGGTTGTATATTATAGCCCAAAGATGAATAATTTGTGTTTGAAAATATGTGCATATTCTTATATTGATAACCCAAATGATTAAATTATAAAAATATTGCAAATACAAAAAAGATATGTTATTTAATATGTCTACCTACATTGCAAAAAATATATATATATAATTCCAATTTTTTCAGAGTTATCTTTATTATGTTCTGGAAAGTAGACATTGAACCTTTTTTTTAAAAAAATATTGTTCTAAAATCATCTGGCAGAGATTTTCATAACCTTCCTCTATGGATGCTTTGTAAGAAAAGAGAAAAATGTTTATGCTGATGTCTAGTTATTTCCTTCAAATTTGGAAGGAAATAATAAGTATTAATAAAATTCAGCATCTGCATTATAAGAACAAAAAATGTTATACTTCTCTTGTTAAATAAAAGTAAGAAATGTCGTGTGATATTAAGACATTTCAAGTGATCCTGTTACCTTTTTTGAGGTTTTAAATTTCTTTTTTTCTTTATATATATATATATGAGGAATATATAGATAAGCTCTCTCTCTATATATATATGTATATATATATGCTTCAGTCTACTCCACTTTTCATCACTGTACCTTAGTCCCTAAATTTTATTCAGTCTCCACTCCATACTCACAAAAACTTAGTCTCAATAATATAGGCTTTAAATCTTCCTTCCCCATTGTCTTTAAGGTGTAACCTTTCCTGTCTACTCCTCTTCAGAGTGATTCCCAGAGCCACCTCTGGTCTAATATGCTCTGAAGTTATACAGATCTCCTGTCCCTTCCTTTTCATAGTATATGATTGCCAAGGCCATTCCTGGTCTAATATGCTCCCTTTGTATGAATTAGATAGAAACAGACTCCACTCAGGGTAGAGGGATCACAAAAGGCTATTTCTCTAGACCTTTGTAGCCCTGAGAATTCAGGGATTGCCAGTGGATAGCAAAAAGCTTTTGAAAACATTTCCTGATCTATTTGGCATTAAATCATTGTCATATTACCAGATTAAAATGTTTTACTTTTTCAATTGGGATTCTAGGACTGTACTCCAAAGAACAGAAGAGAGTATGGTTTGCAGATGGTATATTGCCCAATGGTGAAGTTGCAGATACAACAAAATTATCATCTGGAAGTAAAAGATGTTCTGAAGACTTTAGTCCTCTTTCACCTGATATGCCTGTGGTAAGGAATTCAAAGAATAACTTATTGGCTAAATAAAATTTTATTTCATAGATAATTCCTGGTGTGATTATTAGAGTACTTTTTTTTAAAAAACACTTTGAGCTTCCTAAAATAAGAGATGTATTGATATACTGAATACATTTTAGATTTTATCCCCTTAAAAAAAAAAAGAGAGATAGTCTTGCTGTGTTGTCCAGGCTGGAGTGCAGTGGCATAATTACCACTCACTGCAGCCTCTAACTCCTGGGCTCAGGTAATGCTTCCACCTCAGCCTCCCAAGTAGCTGGGATTACAGATGTGAGCCACCATGCCTGTTTTAGACTTTACTGTTTAAAAAAAAAAAGGGTTTTTTTTAAATTACTTTTTTTTTTTTTTTTAAAGAGACATGGTCTCACTATTTTGCCTAGGCTAGTCTCAAAGACCCGATCTCTTAGTAATCCTCCATCTCGTCTCCTGAGTCATTGAGATTACAGGTATAAATCACCACCCTGGCAGATTTTACCTTTTTTTTTTTTTTTTTTTTTTGAGATGGAGGCTCTGTTGCCCAGGCTGGAGGTGTAATGCGCAATTTCAGCTCACTGCAACCTCCGCCTCCCAGGTTCAAGCGATTCTACTGCCACAGCCTCCCGGGTACTGGGATTACAGGCACCCACCACAACACCTGGTAAATTTTTGTATTTTTAGTAGAGATGAGGGTTTCCGCATTTGGCCAATCTGGTCTCAAACTCCTGACCTCAAGTTATCTGCCCATCTCGGCCTCCTAAAATGCTGGTTATAACAGGAGTGAGCCACCGCACCTGGCCCAGATTTTACTTTTTTAAATGTCAGTTTAAGGGACTGGTTCTCACACTTTCGGCCTCAGGATCCCTTTATACTCTTAAAAGTTATTGAGCACCCTAAAGCACTATAGGTTTCGTGGGTTATACCTATTGATAATTACTATATTAAAATTAAAATTCAGAAATTTAAATATTTATTAACTAATTACAAAATAAGGCTATTACATTAGCAGAAATAATATTTTATGAAAAAAGTTTTTCAGAACAAAAATTTAGTGAGAATAGAGGCATTGTTTGCCTTTTTGCCAATTTCTTTAATGCCTGACTTAATAGAAGACAAACATATTCTCACATCTGGTTCTACATTCTGTGTGTTGTGATACATTTTTTTTTGGTTAAATTATTAAAAAAAAATCGTAGGACAGCACCAATTCCCTAAAAGGGTCTTGGAGACCCCAGGGATCTCTAGACCACATTTTGAGAACCACTGGTTTGGGGAAATGTAACAGATTTAGTAATTTAATTTATACTAAGATCTATTTAGTTATTTTCAAATATTCAAGAAAGTATGTGATGATGATAACTTATGCTTGCATTTGCATAAATGTGCTAGATGTTAAACATAAGATATATAATACAGAATCCCAGATCACTAAGAATTCTCATTGTAAAGTGGCACATACTCATAGAAGCAAGTATAAATGTATGAATTAGTAATGTTTCATGCATTAAATAGATTTATTGAGCATCTACTCTGTGCCAGTCACCTGGTTGATTCTAGCTACATACATATATTAGAAAAGATGGATACTAGGTCGGCTGCGGTGGCTCACCCCTGTAATCTCAGCACTTTGGGAGGCCGAGGTGGGTGAATCACCTGAGGTCAGGAGTTCAAGACCGCCTGACCAACATGGCAAAACCCCGTCTATACTAAAAAAAAATACAAAAATTACCCGGGTGTTGTGACGTATGCCTGTAATCTCAACTACTAGGGCAGGCTGAGGCAGGAGAAAATCACTTGAACCCAGGAGGCAGAGGTTGCAGTGGGCCAAGATTGCACTACTGCACTGCAGCCTGACAACAGGGTGAGACTCCATCTCAAAAAAAGAAAAAAAAAGATGGATACTTACCGGCTCTGTTGAAGTTTATATTTGGTAGAAACATACGCTGTTTGTCAAGAGTTCATGAGCTACACTTTACAAATAGCTGTAATTACCATGGGTATGTTTCCTAGCTAGCACCTACTGTCAATCTATATTAATGAAAACTCTGAACAGGCTAGTAAATATTGAGTTCGTAAATGGTTCTTATTTCATATTGACTTTGTACAGTCTAAAAAGAAAAAGGCTTTTTTGAAATAGTCTTTATGGGTAGTTTATTCCAGGTGGTTACTCTTGTGGATTATAGCTAATGCGCTGCTTCCTAACCACTCCCCTCCCCTTCTTCCTACCTTGTCCCTCCTCCCTACCCACCCAAGGGTTTTTGGCTATCATGAGAAGGGGAGCCTTGGATTGAACTAAGCTTGCTCACTGTGTGATATGATATGGGATCTTGAAGTTCTTCTTGCCTCATTTTTCCCAGTCTTAATATTAAAGTCATTAATACCTACCTGAGCATGCAGTAAAACTAAAACTTTATACTTCTAAATATGTTATGCTCCTGAATTTGAACAATCAGAATGGTACTGTTTCTTGGGAAATTTGACTTTAAGAGAATTTCTGAACCCATTTTGGTTTTATTCTTACCAAAAAGATGTTTGGCTATAGTGATCTCATTTCATAGTTGAACAGAGAATATGAACTGATTTGTTAATTTTTTTATTCCATGTTTTACAGACAGTAAACACAGTGGATCATTCCCATTCTACTACAGTGGAAAAACCAAACAATGAGACAGGAGATATTACAAGAAATGAGATAATTCAGAGTCCTATTTCTCAGGTTCCATCAGTGGAAAAATTGCCTATAAACACAGGAAATGAGGGGTTACCTACTTCTGGTTCATTTACACTAGATAATGATGTTTTTGCAGAAATTGAAGAACCATCTAGTGCTACTGTTGCCTTAGTTAACAGCAATTTACCTATTGCTGGTATTTCAGATTATAGGTTACTGTGTGATATTAACAAGTACGTTTGCAATAAGATTAGTCTTCTACCTAATGATGAGGACAGTTTGCCCCCACTTCTGGTTGCATCTGGAGAAAAGGGATCAGGTAGGAGAGCAGTTATTTAAATTTAAAAAAATTAAAAAATATATATTGATCAATTTTGTCTGTGACATATGAAATGGATTTTCTTAAAACTTACTTTGGTTGCAATATGTACTAGGGCTGGTAACTTGTTTACAGAAAGTCTTACTATATTAAAAACAAATTCTAAAAGTATTTGAACTTTTATGATCCATTTATCACATCTGGCTCCCTAATTTCAAATGACGCAAACTCCAATGCAATAGGGAAGCTCATAGACTTTTAGTCTGAAGAAATGTTTCCATTGTATTAGAATTTTGACACCGTATTATTACTTTTTTTTTTTTTAATGAGCATGATACCTAAAGAAAAGAGCATTAGATTGGATGGCAAAGCTAGGAAGTTTAGTTCCTTGTCTGCTACTTGTTACATCTATGACTTGTAATGTGTTAATTAATCTCCTTGGGCCTCAGTTTCCTTCGTAAATAGAGAGAACCTAGATGATTTCTAAGGTCCTTTTCAAGCAGGAGATTCTATGGCTAACCCCCACCCCAGAGTGGTTTCTAGGATAGACACTTGTCACTCCAGGCATTATGTCACATGGCGGTTCTCTGTGTGATAGTGTAGGGGAATGAAGCTTCGGATCTCTGTTCTGTCAGCAGGAGCCATTACATGAATCTAGGTGTAGTGGCAAAAATATAGTAAGCCCTGTTCTTTGTGTGCCATGCGTATCTTTCTATTGATTGTCAAGATTTTTTATTTTATTTTTATTTATTTTTTTGCTACCTGGTCACTGATATAGGCATATAGTAGCAAGTGCTGACACAGGCATGTGGTAGCAAGCAGCATATATAACGTGGGTCTAGACTACTTTCACAGACTTGTACATTTCAAAAATTATAAATGGAATGCCTGACAAACTGGAATCCACTTTATAAAAACGTTTGTCTTAAAACTTTGAAGGTGCTAAAATTGTATACATTTGCTGTTTAATCAACATAGTGTAAATATACTATATGCATTACAGTATTAATAACTTTACATGGAAAGAAAAGTAAAAATTACTATTTAACAGTTGTCTAGGTTATTGACTGATTTTATGAAACATGTTTGCTTTTGTTTTTAAATTTGATCAGGCCACTGGTGGATTTATAAATTTGTTTTTTTCTCATTTGTAAGCATATTTAACAGGATATTTATCCTGATTAATATATTACTTTCATCATTTAGTGCCTGTAGTAGAAGAACATCCATCTCATGAGCAGATCATTTTGCTTCTTGAAGGTGAAGACTTTCATCCTGTTACATTTGTCCTAAATGCAAATCTGCTCGTGAATGTCAAATTCGTATTTTGTAAGTAATAATTTATCCTTATTTCCTTAATTGGTAAGCAGCATTTCTCAATTAATTACATCTTCAGGTTAGATTTTGACTGGCATTGGTGAAAAATAAGCAGGATTGGATATTGGTTTTTCAGCCATATGTGACTGTAAATAAATTTTGCAAATTTATGTTCAGTAGGACTTGAAACATGAGCTTACAGATTTGTGTTAGCATCCCTCAGTCAATCTCAGGTTTAGGTCATGAGCTTATATAGCTGAGCTGTATTTTGATTCTCATGATACAATTGACTGTATCTCCTGTGGCTTTTAGATAAATTGAAATTTAGTAACTGAAATAAGCAGCAATTCTGATTTAGTAGCAGTAAAGACAGTTTTAAAGTAAGTGACATGTGACCTAATTAAAGAGTAAGGAAGTAATCCTTAATGATTAATAATCCTCACTACTCCATAATGCATCTGTCAGCTTTTCATTCTGTTTGAAACTAGATTCTTATCCACTACATTTCAGCATTTAGTGCATCTTTTATTTTAATGTTATTTATTAATTGGCTCCCTATGATAATCCTTTTTCTTACTTTATATGAATCTTACACAATTCAATTTAAGGTTTTCATAAGAAGAACTTTGGGAACACAAGGAATTTGAAAAGTTATGGCTGGGTGTGGTGGCTCATGCTTGTAATCCTAGCACTTTGGGAGGCCAAGGTGGGTGGATCGCTTGAGGTCAGGAGTTCGAGACCAATTTGGCCAACATGGCGAAACCCTGTGTCTGCTTTAAAAAAAAAAAAAAGAAAAGTTAAATGCAGAAACAATTGTTCTTAGTTTTTTGGTTAATAGAAGTTGACCTTAATAGTTATATTCTTTTATCATCTAAGATTCCTCAGACAAATATTGGTACTTTTCAACCAATGGATTGTATGGCTTGGGACAGTCAGAAATTATTATTCTATTGTTACGTTTGCCAAATGAAGATACTATTCCTAAGGACATCTTCAGACTATTTATCACCATATATAAGGATGCTCTAAAAGGTATGGCATTTTATTTTGAACTGTTCAGTCTAGGGAATGGATAAATTTGTTAAAGGCATTTATGCTTTTGTCTGTGCTAGCTATACTAAAGAATTATTTCTTGAAGAGATTGCTGATTTCTGAAAATAGCTTAATAATTACTTTGTCTCTTTAAAACTAACATTTTATGTGATTAGTGTCTATATGCAGATTTTTGTATTTAAAAAATGGAAATATATCCTTGAATTTTTTTTTTTTTTTTTTTGAGACAGTGTCTCCACCCAGGCTGGAGTGCAGTGGCACAATCTTGGCTCACTGCAACCTCTACATCCCGGATTCAAGCGATTCTTCTGCCTCTGCCTCTCAAGTAGTTGGGATTACAGGCACTTGCCATCATGCCCAGCTACTTTTTTTATTTTTAGTAGAGGCAGGGTTTCAGCATGCTGGCCAGGCTGGTCTAGAACTGATCTCAAGTGACCCGCCCGCCTCAGTCTCCCAAAGTGCTGGGATTACAGGCGTGAGCCACTGTGCCTGGCCTGCCTCCTTGTTTTTTAAATGTATCTATGTAATTTCCTTACTGTCTGTACAAGACTAGGAGATTTGATAATTTTTCACAAGATCATGCAGTAAGGAGAAAAACTGAACGGTTGGAAACATTTTCAAGTTTTTGTTCATAATCCCCAATATCCAGGAATAACTGGGAGCTTTGTGTACAGAAGGTATTTAATAGATGCTTTTGCAAGAACAGAAACAAGAAAAAAAAATCTATAGTGTCTTAACTTAAGACAGTTTATATTGGGATATTCAAACTCAGAACATTTCTTCAAAACAATAACAAAACAACTTAAAATCTTTTTACTAATTTTATTTTGCAGGAAAATACATAGAAAACTTGGACAGTATTACCTTTACTGAGAGTTTTCTCAGTAGCAAAGATCATGGAGGATTCCTGTTTATTACACCTACTTTTCAGAAACTTGATGGTCTCCCATTACCAAGTAATCCTTTTCTTTGTGGAATTCTTATCCAGAAGCTTGAGATTCCCTGGGCAAAGGTTTTTCCTATGCGTTTAATGTTGAGATTGGGTGCAGAATATAAAGGTAAGTTTTAGAGTAATAAGTTAAATTGCATATTTTCAAAGAATGTAAAGACTTTCAGGGAATCATTAACATCAATTTTAATGGATTAATGGAACTACTTTTATTTTGCTATGCTTTTAAAGTTCTAAGACAACCCTCTTCTGCTACCAGGTTGGTCTAGATAACTGTGGTATATCTTCAGGTTTCTAGATGTTCATAAGTTATTTTATTACCTAAAACTTTTCTTCTTAAATTTCAGAACAAAACAGAAAACTTTCACAGTACAGGTTGAGTATGCCATATCTGAAATATATTGGATCAGTTTTTTGGATTTTGGACTTTTTTAGACTCTGGAATATTCACAGAATACATACCAGTTAAGCATCCCAAATTCAAAATCCGAAATGCTCCAATGAGCATTTCTTTTGAGCATCACGTTGGCATTTGAAAAAGCTATAGGCCGGGCAAGTGGCTCACGCCTATAATCCCAGCACTTTGGGAGGCCAAGGTGGGTGGATCACATGAGGTCAGGAGTTCGAGACCAGCCTTGCCAACATGGTGAAACGCTGTCTCTACTAAAAATACAAAAATTAGCTGGGTGAGGTGGCAGGTGCCTGTAATCCCAGCTACTCAGGAGACTGAGGCAGGAGAATCACCTGAACCTAGGAGGCAGCTTTGCAGTGAGCTGAGATTGTGCCTTTGCATTCCAGCCAGGGTGACAGAGCAAGACTACGTCTCAAAAAAAAAAAAGAAGAAAAAGTTACAGAGTTTAGAGCATTTTGGATTTTAGGTTTTTAGATTTGGGATGTTCAACATGTGTTAATTACTTTTGCTAAAATTTTCTTAAAAGTATCTACTGTTGGGAGTTTGTTATGTTGCCTGCATATTAAGAAGGTAAATCATTGCCTCTCTCCATTTTTCTATATTATAAAGCCAAACATAAAGGATTTTTGGGTTAGCAGTGCTATTGTTTTCAGTTACTGACTATAATTAAAAGCTAACTATTTTTAGGGAAGGAAGTACTTAGAAATTGTGGTTATTTTTCTAAGCTTGATTATTCTTATTTTTATATTCTGATGTTTATCTCTCAAAGGTGATATAGCCTGTATCATTCATGTGTATGGGCATGTGTGTGTATTTACTTATCTACCCTTGACACAACTGGTGATTCTAAAGCTGCTGTGATGTTTATATATATGGTTATTTCTGAGTTAGAATCATTTCTAGTGTTAAACTTTTTTGAATTCCCACTGTATCTTTTATCTCTGACTTTTTTCAAGAAATATATTTATTGCATTTGAAGTACATCACGTCTAATGAACTTTTTAGACATTTGATTCTAATATAAGTTGGTAGGGATTTTCTTGGAGGAAAATTAAATGTTGAGAAGCTATAAAAGTGGTGATTACTATTTCAGAATAGACAAATTAAAAAAAAAGGGGTAATCTATTTGGCAAATTTTATTAAATTGTGATTTTGGGGATGGGTGTTCCTTACCATTTAAGATTTACATGTGTGATGCTATTAACTTGTGGGAAAAGTAACAAAATTTAATTTGCATCTCAGGTTTTGTACTGTGTGAACCAAAGAGCTTAAGACATTTCACTTTAAGCCAAATGTTTCATCAATTCAACCCAGCATTTTGCCTCTGATTTAATATTTTTAAATAGAAGATTAGGGGAATAAACTAGCTAATCAAATTATTATGGAACATGTCTGTAAGTATGGCCAGTATTTTTGCCAGTAGCACTTCTAGATAGTCTGGTTTTCTCACACTGAAGGTTGGAGAATCATGGAGCAATATGAAGGGCTTCTCATAAATCATAGGGATTGGAACTGCAAAGCTATGATAAGCTATTTAGTAGTAATGAGGGGAAATTGTCAGTTATATATAATAGTTAATTCGCCTCAGCTGTTTTCTGAATTCTTTCTGTTCTTCTAGATTTTACATAGACTGGCACTTTGACATTATTGGTGCCCATGTCTTTTTAGATGTGAACTCTGTGTGTGTGTGTGTGTGTGTGTGTGTGTGTGTATTTTGTTACAGAGGTAACGTACATTTGAAAAAACTAATGGGAAAGTTAAAGTCCCAAGAATAAAGAGTGAAAGTAACTGTCTCAAATTAGTAATTTTTAAATGCTTTTGAAAATATCTGTGGTTTTATTCTGAGATCACTGGTTTTGAATACCATTAAATGTTCAAATAGATGATTTATGAGGTCCCTTTGTAACTCAGATAGTATGTCATTCTAAGCTGTAACCTGTTGAGAACAGTGTTTTAAACAAAATTACCTCTTCATATTGCAAAGGATGCCCCCTTATTCATATAAGGCAAAAAGTTAGCAGTTAATCATGTCCTTTATCATTTGTATGTCTTTTAACACTAATGTCTTGTATTTTTTTCGAATCTAGACCCACTGTCCTTCAAATAACTTAGTTGCCTTTTTAGAATTACAAAATATGTTTGTACTAGCAAGAATATGACTACTTTGACTTAAGTCTTTAAAGCAGCTAATGTTGGGTATGTGGTGCTTCTTTAGAATTTTAAGGAAGTGTATTTGTGTAATAGACATTAAAGAGATTAGTTTGCTTAAGACCTAACTTGAGAACTGAAGGTTACAAATGTGTCTGTGTGTTATCACTATAGAAATAGTCTTGCCTTCTTTCCTTCAGAATCCCTGCTGCGTTGCCAGCAAGGTCTCTTTTCCTTTTTGGTGTCCAGTATTTATGGTGCTCTAAAGAAAGAACATAGTTAGGTAACCAACCTCATGTCCCTTCCCTTTTTGTGCATTAGTTTCCCTGACTCTATCTGTATATTTCTTTTATCATGCTGAACCAAGAACTCTAAAAGTTTACAACCATTCATAAATTAGCACAATTGAATATTAATTATGAATGCCTTAAAAGTCTTTAGTTCTTTGTATTTATCTTTAAATTATCAGAAATTTATAGAGTTCTAACCAGTTATCGTAATTTTCCACCCCCTATAATTTTGCAGAAACAAGATGTATAATGAAAAGATTAAATACTTTGGAATCAGACAAGCCTAGTTCCAAATCTGTTTCACCAATTATTAACTTAGCCACTAGGAACAAGTTGATTCATTTCTGTGTCTCAACTTTCTCATTTATGAAATAGTATAGACACACTCATTAGGTTGTTGCTGGATTTAAATAAGATAACGTATGTATAGTTCCCAGTTCAATGTAGCATTTAGTAGATACATAGATAAACAGTAAGTGTTAATATTATCTCTTGGCTGGGTGTGGTTGCTCCTTCCTGTAATTCCAGCACTTTGGGAGGCCAAGGTGGGCAGATCACCTGAGGTCAGGAGGTTGAGCCCAGCCTGGCCAATATGGTGAAACCCTGTCTCTACTAAAAATACAAAAATTAGCCGGGCGTGGTGACATGCGCCTATAATCCCAGCTACTTGGGAGGCTGAGGCAGGAGACTTGCTTGAATCCTGGAAGTGGAGGTTGCAATGAATCGAGATCGCACCGCTGCATTCCAGCTTGGGCAACAGAGTGAGACCTTGTCTCAAAAAAAAAAAAAAAAAAAAAAAATTATCTCTCTCCCTTAAGAACTGATTGGATGATATTTTTACATAATGTTTGTTTGTAGAATGAGAATTGAAGGTAATAAATTCAATAATTTGGGCTTTTTTTTTTTGTTATAGTAACCAGTTTTCCTTTCTTATGTATAGCATATCCTGCTCCTCTAACAAGTATCAGAGGCCGAAAATCTCTTTTTGGAGAAGTAGGACACACTATTATGAACTTACTTGTTGTGAGTAATTGAACTATTTTATTAGGTGTTTTTATAGTGTTACTTTAAAACTTTATTTAGCAAAGTTTACACATTTATATTTTCCTACTTTAATTTGCCATGTTTGGTATAATGACCATTCATTTACAATAAATCCTAATTATTTTAACATATTAGTGCTCAGTTTTTGATGAATTGCTTTTTTAGAACGTACTATCTCCTCTTGTATGTGTACCTGATTCTAATTGCCTTTTGATTCATTCTCCTGCAGTTCTTGGATGTTTAGGTAATGTAATAACTCTATACAGACCTCTTAAAGTTATTGAAACTTTTGTAAATGTATTAGTAAAGTCAGTCAGTCTTGTGATTTTGAGCAAATTATGACCTTAGTTTTCTCGTTTATAATAGGAAGTGTTGGATTAGATGATACCTAAAGTTCCCTTCCACTTATACTTTTTGTAATTTTGTGTTTCCCTGTTACCATAGAAAAATATTTCAGTGGACTCACTTGTATTTATCCATGGGTAGTTTGAAGACCTTTTCTATTTTGGAAGTTCTGTAACTAGAAAGAGGAGATACCCTAAATACTACAAAATTTTTCCTGAGAATCATATTCTTTTATTACTGTTGTGGAGAAGGATTTCTTAAAGAAGGATTTAATGGATGGAAAAATGCTCATGGTTAGTAGTTTATGGTAATGCGATTATTCTATGTAGGACCTTCGAAATTACCAGTATACCTTGCATAATATAGATCAACTATTGATTCATATGGAAATGGGAAAAAGCTGCATAAAAATACCACGGAAAAAGTACAGCGATGTAAGTATAATTGTTTTATTCAAATGACAATTATTGAACATTAGAGTTCCTTAGAATTGTGTCACGTTAAATTTTTTGTTTTGAATTAGACTATCTAATGTATTATGGCAACAAACATTGTTTTTGAAATTATAGAATTTGTTTGCTAGTAAATAATCTGTTTGATCATATTTTTTTTCTTCTTACTGTTTTATTGAGGTGATTACTGTTCAACTGAAGTGATTTTATTTTAAAACATTTGTTTCTATAACATTCCCAGGGAGTTGTCCAGACCAAAGCTTGACGATTATGAAGCTGGTCAGGAACGTGGCTCTTAGAATAGGCATACAATGTTAAAAGTGTTTCTAAACAAATGTTGTTTTTGGTTTTTTCCAGGTAATGAAAGTCCTAAATTCTTCTAATGAGCATGTCATTAGCATTGGAGCTAGTTTCAGTACAGAAGCAGATTCTCATCTAGTGTGTATACAGAATGATGGAATTTATCAAACCCAGGCCAACAGTGCCACTGGCCATCCTAGAAAAGGTGAGCATCATGGTTCCTAGTGCTAATTTACAAAACCACCTCAATTAATAGAATTCCTTTCAAGGGGGAAATATATGTATATTTACTTATTTGCTGAATTGTTGGTGATAAAACGGTATGCTTTGAAATTTTAGCTACACAACAGATTTTAAAATTGCTTCTAATTTTTGTTTTTCTCTTGAACTGCATTAGGCTTACAGACTTGGAAGACTGTATTCCTTTTGATATCTTTAAGTTTAGTATATCCCATAGGGTGGGAGTCTTTCTTTGAGTAGTTTCTTTCTGAAATAAGGTATTTCTTTTCACATTTGTTCACTCTCTGCTCTGACTCCTCTTAGTTTGGGGAGCACAGGGTGATAAGGGTAAGAATGATTTATAAAACATAACAAGCAGCATCTGTGAATGACATTACTCTCGGTTCTGGCTGAATGGCTTCAGTGATTGCTATGATTACCAAACCCTTGCAGTAGAAGGCCTAACAAATTGAAAGTCAAATGGAAGCATTTTATAAAATTAATACATTATTATAGGATAACATGCTTAAAATAGTCTTGACATCCTGGCTGCTAGTAAAATTTTTTCCTCTGCTTATAAAAGTAATATATACTTATTTGTAGTAAGCTTGGAAAATACATTTTGAAAAGTAGTAAAAGAGGCTGGGCGTGGTGGCTCACGCCTGTAATCCCAGCACTTTGGGAGGCTGAGGCAGGCGGATCACGAGGTCAGGAGATCGAGACCATCCTGGCTAATACGGTGAAACCCCGTCTCTATTAAAAATACAAAAAATTAGCTAAGTGTGGCGGCACGCACCTGTAGTCCCAGCTACTCGGGAGGCTGAGGCAGGAGAATGGCATGAACCCGGGAGGCGGAGCTTGCAGTGAGTCGAGATCATGCCACTGTACTCCAACCTGGGTGACAGAGCGACAGATCGAGACTCCATCTCAAGAAAAAACAAAGAAAAGTAGTAAAAGAGAAAAGTGCCAAGCTATGGTCACTATTGACATTTTACTGTATATCCTTCTTATATTAACATATATGTTAAATAGATGATTTTATACTGGATAGTTATACTTTTATATTGTACTTTATCACTTAACATGATATTGGCATTTTTGCCACTAAAATTTAACAACTTTTTAATATTTATTTGTTGAATAGGTATATTTTTACGTGGTAAAATTTAAGTTATTAATATATATAGTGAAAAATCTCCTTTCCTCCCTTGACCACCCAGCCATCCTCTTACTTTCCCTACAGGCAACCAAACCAGTGTTATCAGTTCTTATACATCCTTTCAGAGACATTTTTGTTTTAATATATATTTAAGAAATACACACATCTATCTCTTTCTTCCACTTTTTTAGACAAGTCCTAATATTTGCTCCATTCTATACCTTGTTTTTTTGTTGTTGTTAACACACTTTGGAGATTATTCTATGTTTGTGTATAAAGAGCTTTTATATTCTACAGAACTTTCCATTTTATATGTTGTATGTCATTTAACTGTCCCTTATTGATGGACATAAGTTGTTACCAATCCTTAGGGGCTATTTATAAAAACGCTATAGTGAATAGTTTTGTACACATGCTGTTTTGTACACATTTGAACCTATCTGTAAGATAAATTCCTAGAAGTGGAATTGGTGTGTCAAAATTACATTTACTTGTAATTTTAATAGAAAAATGCCAAGTTAGGGCTCCAGAAAGACTGTTCTGATTTGTGCTGTCACCAGTAGTGAATGTTTGATTTCCTACACCCTCAGTAATATAGGCACAAACATTTAAAACAGTATAATACTCCATCAATTGTTAATAAAACCATTAAATTATTTATTTAATAAATTTATTAATTTATTAAATATAAGTTTATTTATTTATTTATTTGAGACAGCGTCTCGCTCTGTCGTCCAGGCTGGAGTGCAGTGGCACGATCTCGGCTCACTGCAAGCTCCACCTCCCGGGTTCACGCCATTCTCCTGCCTCAGCCTCCCGTGTAGCTGGGACTACAGGCACCCACCACCTCGCCCGGCT